GTTAGAAGAAATGTGTGCGATTTTTGGAGAGGAGATAAGTGGTTAAAGAGAGAGAAATGAATTTTCGACGAATTTTTGTAAAAATATAAAAAATAAATCTTAATGACCTGATTCTTAAAAAGTATAGTTAAAATGTAAAAATTTGCTTAATTTTCCCTCAATACAATTCATAAATCATTTATAAATGGTCAAATTTCATTTTTAACCACACATGTTAATGAATTTATAAGTATTATCTACTTATACATCACTCAATTTTATCTATTAAACATTAAACCATTATAAATTCTTCTCAAACCGAGGCTAAATACTTAATGAAAAAAATAAAATAAAAAAAAATTAAGAGAAAAAAGAAAAATGAAGAATTTATCACGTTTCCCAACCCCCTTCCCCATTCCACTCGACCATACACTAACATAATCACAATTTAGGGGTGTTAAATGAGCTATGTCAGGATGTTAAGCTCACCTACCATGGACTCAACCATGCTAGCTTAACAAAAGTGAAACTCGACTCGACTTGACATATTTTGAATTTTTTTCAGTTAGATTGTATAATTTTTTCAATTTGAAGAGAAGGTTCGAGAGCCGTTTGTGAGCCGACTCGTACATGAGCCAGTGATCTCACGAGTCTGCCACGAGCAAACGAACTGATCGCATGACCGAACCCCTATTCAGCTTGCATTTACGATTTATCTTGATCAAGAATTGAGCTGACGAATCAACCAGTGACTCACCCTACCTGGCGTCCCTATCACAATTTATGAAACGATAGTTCCATATCGGAACTACCCATTCCAACATGAATAAATCTATTTGTATATCTTCTTTTACCACTTGGTTGACGATGGATGATGTTGCCGTTTTATAAAGTTTGGATTAAGCCCATGTTTGGTGAGGACTAAAATTGAATTTTTACTAGATTGTGATAAAAATTGATGAAAGTGTAAAACAAAGCTATTTTTGTAGTAAGATTGTTACAACATGAGTGGAAGATAAGAATTACCCATATTTGGCCCTCATTTGTTTCTTATTTTTCATCCATAAAAATGAAAAATATAACCGTTATCCATCACATCAAGCCATCAATTTTAAATTTCTATCTCTTGTGTGGGGTCCAATAACAACTATATTTTTTATTCTCATTTTACAATAATGAGAATCAAACGGGCCCTTGATACACATTCTTTTAAAATACATTCTTTCAAAACTCATTTTCAACAACACATTTTTTAATAAAATAATATTTTCCATTACATCAATAATTTTTCGTTACTTTTTAATCATATGTTTCTGAATTATATTATTATTAAAATATATTCTTTTCTTAATAATATTTATTAAATACACAATTAATCTTCATACGAAGGCAGAACCCCTACATCCTCTTATACGGGGTGGGTCTCACGTGGGACCCACCTCAATAAAAAAGTAAAAAAAAATTACCCAACCCTATGTACATGTGTATGAGTTGTCTGTGGAGGGCTCTACATTTAGCTTCTCTCGGAAGATAAACCCACTTACATCAACCCATTTGGCTCAATGTCACACCAAACCTTCATACTTTGTCGTTATTGATCTACCCCTCAGCGAGTGGCCCCATACTTTATCATTCCATTAAGAACTCCCGCTGTTGAACTTGAACATTTGTTACTTAGGCCCTTTTCGAGCCAAATTATTTTAAATTGTAAAATAAAAATGAAAAATATAGCAGTTATTTAAATCGATAGAAAATTTGAATTTAACCGTCCGTTTGAGCCCCATTTTTTTCAAGTTTTCATTCTCATTATTTACTTTTTCTAGGCCGCACTGCAAATATTTTCAACCAGTTGTGCCAGAGATTTTTGGGTGAGTGACCGTTGAAAATTGGTTAGACTAATATACCCAATTTGTCATCTATTATTTACGAAAATACCTACTATTATTATCCACACTTTCAAATTTCCTTTACAATTAAAAAAGGGTAGATTCGGGATAAAAAAATTTGTCTGCAAAATTCTAAAAAATCGTATGAAGTCATGCAAATAATCAGTCAACCCAACTGTTGAAGCAGTCCAAAAATCGAGAAAAATGAGAAAAAAATGGGGAAAAAATGGGGCTCAAATGGGGGCTAAATGTTGATACGATGGATAAAGTTCATATTTTCATTTTAACAAGATAATAATGTTAATCGGGGCCTAAACTCTTAGCTTCAAAAAAACAAAGGGATGAAGAAGAAGGAGGACGAGGAGAAGCAAAGGAAAACCAGGTAGATTCTTGTTTTGTTTTACATAAAAAGAAAGGGCAAAAAACTCGGGTTTTATCCATATATCCATATCTCACGTTTTCTTGACCATTTCTAATTTTGGACTGTTGGCTTTTCTTTAGTTCCGTGATATTTTTCAACTCTTTTTCATCGTGACTTTTCTTTTATCATTTTAAGATATTTTCATGTGGGTTCATTTGCATTTTGCTCGCTAATCTAGTTCTATTGCTCTTTTCTAGTTTTGAGTTGAAATTCTGATGGGCTAGTTGAAACTCAGTCGGAAAAGTAGAATTGAATTTCTGGGCTTCTGCTTTTGCGGTTAGTTTTTTCATAAGATTTATGGTCGTGGGTCATTTCTGTACATATTTATCGTGGTTAGTATTTATAAGTTTGTCACAAGTTATGGATTTTAAAAATAAAAGCTACTGGAATCATACTTTGGTTTCAGGTTACAGTTCGATGAAATTTCTATGCTAGTTTGATTTTATTTGACTTTCTTTGCATTTTTTATATCTATAGGTATATGTTTAGAATGAGTGAGAGATTGTGTCAAGAAACTCTGTTGATCTGAATTATTTTTTGGTGATTGCATAAAACAGTTCGCTTTGCATTAGTTTGGGACTTTAATATATGCTTGGTTGATTGAAATGGGAAGTAATATAAACTTCAAGAATTTGGGAAATGATTCACTGGCGGAAGGCAGTGGTGGAAGGCTGCCTGATAGTTTTCCCTTGAGGCAGCAGCCATTAATGTATTCATTGACATTTGATGAGTTTCAGAGTAACATGGGGAGTTTTGGAAAAGTTGGGTCAATGAACATAGATGAGTTGGTTAAAAACATTTGGAGTGCCGAGGAGAATCAAACTATGGGGTTCATTAGTGGAGACGGTAGGGGGGAGAGAGGCGAGGAAGGGGGTGGCAATTTGCAGAGGCAGGTATCATTGAATCTTCCACGTACACTGAGTCAGAAGACGGTCGATGAGGTTTGGAAGGATATTACTAAAGAGTATGGTGTTGGGAAGGATGGGAGTGGTAGTGTTGATGACCCGAGCACAATACCTCTGAGGGAACCAACTTTGGGTGAGATGACACTTGAGGATTTCTTAATGAAAGCTGGGGTAGTGAGGGAAGATGCTCAGTTGGCTGGAAAGCCTGATGATATTGGATTTTTTGGTAACTTGTCATACACCGGGAATAATCTTGTTGAGGGATTCGGATGCCGAAATGCAGATGGGAATGAGGGGGTGATGGATAATAGAATTGCGGAAAATAGTAAGGAAACAGCCATGAAATCAACTAATTCACTGTTGAATGTAAATGGGGTGAGATCTACTACACATTTAAAACCAAGTCAACAGCAGCCTCAGCCTCTACAGCAACGACAACTTTTTCCCAAGCAGCCTGTTTTGCCTTATAGGTCTCCCTTGGGTATATCGAATGGTGATCAATTCAGTAGTCCAATAATTAGGGGTGGGATTGGTAGGCTTTGTGATTCAGGAATGAATAATAATTTGGTCCAAAGTGCCACACTGCAGGGAATGGTTGATTTAGGATCTGAGGTAGGAGGAGCTGCAATGGGATCCCCAGTCGTTTCATCAGATGGGCTCGCGAAGGATAATGGAGATGCGTCTTCTATGTTACCGGTACCAAATATGTTTAATAGTGGTTTGAGGGGTAGGAGAAGCAGTGCTATGGAGAAAGTTGTTGAAAGGCGGCAGAAGAGAATGATCAAGAACAGAGAGTCAGCAGCAAGATCGCGGGCTCGAAAGCAGGTAAATATCTCAATGTTTTTGTATTTGTCAATATGATGCTGTTATGGCTTGTACATGCTTATTTTGATGTCACGTCAAAATAGTGGACTTGTGAATTCTGAATTTGAGATTTCACAGAAAATCTAATGAAAAGCTCCGAAAATCCATTCTAAGCAATTTGTTATCTCTCGTTATGTGGGGTTACAGGACAACTATTGAATGTACAGTTGCGTGTTTCCCTTCTAGGAGTGCAACTTACCTTTTCTTTTTCCCCATTTCTCTCGATAGGTAGATAGACGTGGTATGAGGCAAAGGTTTGGTAATAGTTTTCCTGAAGCATCCAGAAGCAGAAAAATGAGCTGGCTCAATTTTCGTGTCCTTGAAACTTAGAATACAAAATGGACACGTGCAAGAATGCTGTTCACTAAGAAAGGTAGAGATAAAATCTAATCGCAGAGACAAAGTTAAGAAACTAAGTAAATAGCTAGGTTAAGAGACAATGATTTTCATCTACTTGTCCCTTTTCGGATTATGATGATCATTGATATTCTGCTTTTATCATTTGCATCCTACAAACTTTACAAAAGAATGGATATCTTATGCAGCAGAATGGTAATGTAATAGAGATCTAGTGTGACAAGAGGTGAATACATGTCTTGAGAAGTTTAAAGCTTCCATTTGCTACAAGGTAATGTAGTATGTGCTTTAAGAGAGTAACAATTTGTTTTTACTCCTGCAATTTTTACAATTTAACAAGCTTCCCGGCCATTAATTTATATTCAATAGCCAAATTTGATATTGTTGAAAGAAAATATTTAACTTCCATTAAACCATTTTTGTTTTGGCATTTTCCAGGCACACACTACGGAGTTGGAAGAAGAAGTTGCAAAACTGAAGGAAGAAAACGATGAATTGCGAATAAAACTGGTAAGCGTTAATGTGGTTTCTCTCCGTATCCACTTCTGTATCTTCGTATTCTTATAAAATAAAATGAAATCTGATTTACACAAATATTTGCTGATCTTCTATTCTGCAGGCAGAAATTGTGGAAATGCAGAGGAATCAGGTACCTCTATCACCCTCAATCTTCCCCTTAAGAAACACAATTTTCATGGTGTTTTATGAAACATTTTTGGGCTGTCCAATTGTTTATTTTCAATATTGGGTTAAGATATAAATAACTCATTGGTTTTACTTCATCTTCTATATCCTTTCTCTTGTGATTTTCACACAGAGCATGTTTGGCTTAGCCTGGAGAAACATAAAGTTAATTTAAATTTAACTTAATAAACAAAGGTGTTTGGATGCGTTACTTTTCCGCATGGCCGGTTTTAGATTTTAAGCTGTCTTTTGCCTCGACTATCGTAAAATGATCCATAAAATCAGAACCCAGGTCCATTCCATAGATCTGGCAATGTATGTGCACGTTGTGAACATATGTTTGTTATAATATAGTGAACTAAATACTTGCACCACTGAGGAAACAAATTGTTATTAGTTACATTTGATGATGGCAGGTCCTGGAGACGATGAACCAACCGCGAACAAGCAAAAGACAGTGCTTGAGACGGACTCAGACAGGTCCATGGTAAAGGGTGTTACCGGGTTGGTGACTGAGTTTCATTTATAATGCGAAAAAGTGATTGTAGATATCTAATAGTCACGCTTCTGTAGATCAGAAATAACACAAATAGCGTTTTGCTTTTAGTTAGTGCTTCCGAATGCAATACTTTTTAGTATTTTACATACAAAGAAAGATCCTTTGTGAATTTGCACTCCATCTTTTAAGCACAATAGAGACTGGGAAGCTTGAAAAGGGTCGATTAGACACCTGTCCGCTATACTTTTTTTGGTATATTTGGTTAGTTTGAGAGCATCGTGAATCCTTTGGCCCCTTATCATGTTTATATTTTAAATCGACATTTATATACTCGACTTGGGTATTGAACAGGAAAAATAAAGGCTCGTGGGCTAAAAGTTAAAGTTCATATTTATTGTTTCGCGCGGAAATCGAGCATCGCTAACAATTAAAAGATGGATAAAACGATTGTGTAAGAAACAACCTTTCGAGACAAAGTTCCAACGGAGGGTGTTTTATTGATGAAGATTACAATGTGAACGAAATATAATGCCTCAAAGGGGTGCAATCACAAATTCTAGAAGGAAATAATTGAAAGTTAACTAAGAAATGAAATTAAATAGTTCTCTATTTGAGAGTTGGTTCGATCTTTTTTCTCTTGAAGATTCTTTTTTCTCTTTTATACTCATTTGACAGTTTCTCTTGTAAAACCTGTGAAGTAAACCCGAGCTCTTCTCTCCTTGAATCCGGGCTCAGTCTCTAAAACCGACACCACAACAAGTGAAGAAACAACACCCACACGGTGAGTACACTCCCAAATGGTTGCTCCAACCAATAGATAACCAACAAAGGCTAGGGGATGAGAGGAATGCAGCCAAGGAAATTAGACCACTAAGGCTAACTTGAATTCTCACACGGCAAGGCACAA